CTGAAAGTGGTCTGTAGAACAGAAAAGGCTAAGAACCTTTTTAACTCATTAGACATATTTTATGAATCAGAATTTAATTTGTAATAAAGAAATTATTCCAGTATGATTCTTAAGAAAAAGCTTAGATACATACCCAAAAAAACTAATAATATATTAAAAATCAAAATAAATTTAGTGAAATCTTAATAAACTGAAAGCTTCAAAGTCATAATATTTAATGGTCTCAAACAAGCACAGAACCTAACACAAGGAATATGCAAATATAGTTTGTTTTTAATATCTGACAAATCAATGTTAACAAATAAGAATGGAAATGCCAAAAATTTACATCTAAAATAATAGCAAAAAGTTTTTCTAGCAAGAAAAAAAAAATCAGAAATAACATGTCGCAGATATTTGCCTCAACACTAACAGCATTACAGTGTTACACGAGTATCACTGTTAGAGCTGCATGTTAAATTTTGAAATTGAATATCTTAGCTAATATCCAACTTATTTTTATTTATAAGACTATATTTTAAAATGCAACTAACCCAAAAGCAAACAAAATATAATATACAAATATGTTTGCATTTTTCTGAACTTCCAGCAATACAGATACATTCATAATTATTTACAATTATTGTTGAATTTTCTTTTTATAAACAGTAAAACTGATTCTGAGGAGAAAAAAATGAATGCTAGAGTTTGCAAACACAATCCAATAAGAATAATATTAACCAAATTCTTTTCTTAAAACCCGACTAATATAATTTGCATTGACTAATTTTGCAAATAGTGTAAATCTGTATCAAATTAACAACACAAAGCACCAATGTAAGCAAACTTGTACCATTTGCTTTGTAGTTTGTTGGAATTGCTAATTTATAGCTACATTTATGTGGAAGCTATTACTGATTCATTATATTTTTGCTTCCTTTCAAACATTTCTTAAACAGTTATTCTTTAAATTTATATAAAAATCTCTCTAAAACAACTAGTTTGATTCATTTTATTTTGAAAGAATTTGCATTCAAAGACAAGCTAGAACATTCATAACTGGATTTAGTTAGTTCGGTAACATTGATTGTAAGAAATTTAATCGAAGAGTTTACGATGAAAATATACTTAAAGAAGTTTTGAATTAATTGAAACTTCAGACCTCTTTTTTTACACTGATCATTGGTTACAGTATATAAAATCATGTTAAAGCAAACGATTAACGAGGCATCAGTGAAGCAGTATAAGCTGTCAAAATTACACCAATGAGTGGATTAATGGAATTGATTACTATGGGCTAGAGAGAAAAGATGATGCCGCAATCCATACTATCCACGATAAACTGTAAAAGGTCCAGATTGGATTCAAATCTGATCTACAGCAATCTGTCTCACATCTAGTCAACTAAAACTTATAATGAAATGTCCACATTAAAATTTTTAATGAATTATTCAATTGTTCCATAAACATTAATAAATGGGTAAATTCATCACATTTATGATGTAATCAGAGCTGCTTAAAATTCAATTATTGAGTTATAGGGAAATAAGCAAGTTAAATGATGAAAAAATAAGAACATTCAGACATAGAAACAACATTTTTTCTAAAAAGTTTGTGAATATTAAATTATCATCATCATTTATTATTAATTTACGATTATGCAAACATACACTAGGAGATGACTACTGCAGATTTTAAATTAAATGGGTAATCTTTCTCTAGCTAAAAGTTGAATTAATGCATGTGTTAACTGAAGGGTTTAATTTTAAAACATCTTATCCACTTTCAACTTTTTTGGCAAATGAATATGACAAATAAATAAATAAAATTTTATTATAAAAACACTATTAAAATGCAGAAGTATTTTGTATGCTAATTCTTGAGACCAAAAACAGTGTATATTCAGAATCATTTTCATTGTCTTAAGTAACATTATAGAATAATTAAAGAAATTACTTTGGACCCCAAGGGATGACTTGAACTAAAGGCGGACACAAAAGACATTTTGAAAGAAAGTTTTATAGGACAAGAAACATTTAAAAGAAAGTGAAAAAGACATATAAAGATGAGTAACGGGGACATGTTTCTGCAATATGGTTTCGCTATAGAATGGCAGCTGTCTTTTTACGGATGAGTTGTTTTCAATTGTAAACTCATATTTGAAAGAAATTTTTAGCGATTTATAGAATGTTTTAAAACAAAATTAAAATTGGAAATAAAAAGAGAAACCACCAATGAATCCGAAAGAATCAATACCTTGATTTTGAAAATTTGGGCAAAAGACCTAAAAATAGCTACTTCAATTAATGCATGTAATAATTCTACTAAGTGAGATAAGTAGGAAACAAAAAATCTAAGGAAAGGATCCTTTACATTTGTCAGAATATGTCCATAAGAATCTTTACATTCATTGCAGGATGAAAATTAATTTAACAAGTTCTGTTTTTGTTTATTTTCTACTCTGCCAAATCAAGAACTCAATGTGGCCATGAACAACAGTTTCCTGCTTTCAAAAATACAGTATATCTACTTGAATAACTTGCATACCTTATTTTTTAATATACCAGTTTAAAAAAAAAAAAAAAAGGAAAAAAACTTGACTAATTTATGGTTGTAATACAACAGCAATCTTCACTCTCACTGTTTCGTAGCATTCAATACGGCAGTTTACAAGTCCATACGGAGTCTTTATTTATCCTCATTTTCATGAAATTAATTACACAAAAACATTTAATAATATTGCTTGTAACTACTGAGTATAGATGGTCATTATTTTAAGCAAAGTTATCCAGTTGATAAGAAAAATTCATCTCTAGCAAAGCAAGCAAAATACTTAGTGACTAAAAGCACACTAAATTTCATGGTTTGCATCATCAAATTTATTTTGAATAAATTGTGGATTTTGACTTTTTGCCATAATTTTTTGAGAAAAAGTGTGTAGATTATTGAGTAAATACAGTATTCGTTATGTTGAAGATAGGTTGGATATGTTGGATATTATGATGCAATTTAATGGCAAAAATATTGAAGCTAATGAATATTTAATCATTTTTATATTTATTATAAAAATCTATAATTCAGATTAGGTAGGATGATATTAAAATTTATGAAATTTTGTCACTATCATGAAAATGAAGAAAGTGAAATTTCTTATTCAAATATATTAGATAATAATATGATCAGATTAACATGCAAATATTCTTAGAAATGTAACATTTATCAGCTTAATATAATCTAGCTTAATAACACTTTTGTAGCACCATAAAAGTAATTTTTGACTCCAAACAACTGATAAAGCACTATGCTAATGCTAATATCTTTATAACCTTAGAGTGCATCCACACATTCGTTGCTCACTGAGTACTGAGCACACATTCTGCAAATACTGTATTGAATAGTACGGATGGTTTATACTCATGGTGAATATTTGGCATTTGCCATTTCCTCATCTTGTCAGAAAATTGTGCTGAATCAATGGAGATGAATATTCGTGTATGTGTGTAAATTTGGCAAGCACAAATGTACACACACTTCGACAAATGCAAAATTATTTGGCATTCAGTGAATAGCAAACGTGTGGATGCATCCTTAAGGAGTCAGTTATTCCAGAACTATAATATGCAAATATTCATTTGTCGTCATCACTATTTGCATAAATCTGAACATGACTGAATATCTGCAACTTAATCTGGTAACAATTAAATATTTGTCAAACATCAATAATATTGGAGAAAACAACCTTCAAGCATTACTTCGTCTTCTTATCATAAAGATCTTACTATTAGAAGTCATTACAGATAGCATAAATGCTACATACTTTCCTGAAGATAATTGTTACATAATTTATAATATGTTTCATAAATCTTGGCCAGGCTGCTGCAATGTGTAACGGCAAGAATGACTAATTATATAACCTGTATCTTTCACTTGGATCACTAGTATACACATTCTTTAGCATGTTGACTGGCCCTAGGAAAATTTTTTTTTTTTTTTTTTTAACAGGATAGTTAAACACTAGAGCCATGGCTGTTATTTATGTATATATGGTGAATGCAATAAACCTGCATATTTGGCTCAAGTGAATACTCTTGTCAGTTATTGCTTTGTAGAGCACCATGATTCTACACTGTATGAATCATTCTAAATACTGGTCTCAAATTATCCCCATGCCATCAGCTATCAATACACAATGTTTCAATAGTAAATTGTGAGTTATAAACAAACCAACTTACAAACACATACTTGCAACGGAGTCATATATAACTCACATGCTACACATTTTTTCATTCATCAACGTGCTGAGCAGTTGTCACCGAAAGCGACATTTTTTTCCAACGATAGTCGATAATGCTTTCTGGAACAGTGATATAATAATAACGATGCCATTTCTGCTATATCTCCACACATTTTTTTCAATGTTATTAAAAGAAAAGCCATTAAATACATTTATTAGAAAACAAGAAAATTACGATTTATTTACTTTCTCATCCAAAAAGCTATTTCTGCAAGTGGCATCCGTCTCAAAAACAGAGTCAATAGTATAGTCAAGGTGCCAGTGCATTTCGATGCACAATAAGCATGTCAATAACAGATTTAACAATTGAACGTACATGCTAAACATGCTTGCATACCGGAAAAAAAAAAAAACTCCCCACAACAGCATCGGGTTCTCACCTAGTGCAAGTTATGCTAGTCTTGTGCCACAACTGGCACATTAAATTATCCATACCCCGCTCGGATAACACGCAGCTCCCAGCCAAGACTTACTCGACAACACGTTTGCAGCGAGTCTCGAAGGGCATTTTCTCCAAGGTTACGTTAAGCAAACAGAATTATTACAACCACGTCGACAAAATTCTGTCTGCGTAAACTCTACGGCATTCGTTAAGTAACGAATACGACGGCATTTTGATTAGTCAGTACGCACGGTTCGTACCTACTACACAAAACTCGACCATATTCGTTACGAGCGTAACGAAGTCTGCGTACCTACCGCACTTTTACATTTAACACATACTCACCTGCAATTTATTAGAATATTTAGCAGTAACTTCAAGCAAGACGTCTCTAGCAATAGGCAAACTGGAATCATCAGTAATTAGTAGAATATGTAACGGGGTCGTTGTATGTTCGAACAGTGACGATAAGCATATGATAAGTTTGTCTTTCATTCTAATGTGATCCTGCACATGAGTAAACAACATAACAATTTCAATTGACTGTGAAGAATTGCTCCAATGAAACTTGTATGACTCAATGACAGAACTAGCATTGAACACGGTAGAATTGAACACTGTATATTGGTCTGATCTAGTTTGATACTTGGCTTTGAAATCTTTTGATTGAAATAATAAATATACAACGCAAACTATGCATAAGAAGAAAGGGATTTTGAATAAGTGACGACGTAGACGATTCGTCTGAGCCATGAATGGCTTCGAGACAACTTCATCACCTTTTTTGAAAGAAAATTCTCGTTGCAAACGTCACATTTACCTTTCCATTACTTAATCGAATTAAATTTAAAAGAAAACCGGTGTCGCATACAGTCGCAACGAACACCTTTTTCATCGCCTCCGTCCCCCATCGGACGCCATTACGTGTCCACCCTTCACTTTCAACGAAAAAAAAAACTTTCCCTAAATGTTTACATTTTTAGGGAATTTCCGAGGAAAAACTCACTTTCGAGTTTAAAACTTTTCCCTAAATGTATACATTTTTAGGGAATTTCTGGTAAAAAAAAAACTATCGGGTAAAAAAAATTCCGTGACATTTTTTTAAAATTTCCGTATATTCTTAATTAATTATTACAATTATATTAAAAAAAAACATATATATATTTTATTCAGAAATGTGTTAATTAAAAATATAAATTTAAGAACTGATAATGCTAGAGGGAAAACATTGATGTAAATAAACGACTATTATTGGTTTTTAGGCCTATTTACTAATTGTAATTAAATGGTTATATTTTAAAAACATTAATTAAATTATTATTTAATTGTGTTATAAAACAAGTGAAATAATATTTTTAAAAAATTAACGTAAATTTCAACTATATTTTTTTAAAAATAAAAATAGATTACTATATATAATCCGATTTATAAAAATTTTAAAAACTAGTAAACAAATAGTTATAAAATTAATATTTAATAATAATTAAAATTAAATAATAATAATCGTAATCCACTCGGCAGAGAGTTGTTGAGATGATGGCCAATTTTAGGCCATTGCCGATGGCTGATAGATAAGTTTAAGTCTATAAAATAGGCTGAAAGCATTTACAGTAGACCCCCTATAACACTGTTGATAATTCCATTTTATATGAATTCCATGTTGTACGAGTCACATAGATTTTACAAATACGTGAGCCGTTCACAGCCCGGCACACGTATTTGTAAAATATAAGTGACTCGTACAACATGGAATTCATATAAAACGGAATTATCAACAGTGTTATAGGGGGGGTCTATTGTATTTTCAGGTTTTATTTGTTTGCGACAACGCGACATGTGGGCGATGCCCCGGGAGTACTTTCTACGTGAAATTAGCCATTATTTATGTGTTACTAACGTGAAAAAAGCCGGAAAACTTCGCACGATCGACTCATTGGCCAGGCGCGAACCCATGATCAAACCACCATTGTTCGGTGGTTTTATCCACACGACTACCATAAGGTTAGAAGAAAACTAGGGGTTTCTGCCATTAAGGAATTGATCTACCAATTTGCTTGTATATCTTTGCTTGTATTCTTCAATTTTTTCAGCACAAATTGCTACTCTCGGAGAGTGTCTACCTAAGTGCTATGTCCACTTCATCCTATTTTACTACAGAGCCTTCAGCCTGTGACATCATACATCGTACTGTATTCAAATCGCTTTCTTTGTCGAATAATTAATGGGCGGATGGCCGAGCGGTAAAGATGGAATCCTTTCGCTTTGGAGGATCGAATCCGGACGGGTCGTAAAAGCCCCAGGAATTTTTTGAATCAGTCAGGATATGTCGGGCCCCCGTTCCTCACCACCCGACCGCCCTATTGTGGGCCTGGCCGAACTCATAATTGGCTTGTTAAAGGAAGCCCTCACAGTGTCTACGGGGAGGAAAGAGTTTAATAGCTGTGTATCCCTGATTTGAAGCCATTTTCTTGATTCTGTTGAGCTCTGTCTTTCTTGTTAATCATACATATCTTTTATAGAACATATCACTGATGAATTCATTAAGAATATATTTCTCTAATTTGCGTAACACAAGTTTTACATAACAAACCAGACACTGGATCCACAAGAACGCCTTTCTTTTGTCTGTATACTTGTTCATTGAAATTAAATAACAACTCATAGTACACTAGGTTTGCTAACTCTATCACCTTTTTGCCAATTCCGGCATCCAGAGTAGCATAAAGATGGTTTGAACCTTAAGTTAGAGAAGGAAAGTTCGACGTGGATAATGGTAATAGTAAATGAAAATAGGGATTGGAAAGTTATATGGAAAATATACATGTGGTACCCACGGGGTGTGAAGAAACTGCTTGGCGTATTGTAATGAATGCAATGATGACAAGAAGTTATTTTAGAGATTATCATAGAATGAGAGATGGAAATGTAATAATAAGTCGTTTCATCTCGTCCGTACCTTTCATATTTTCTTTGAATTTGAGAGTGCTGCTGCCGTGTGGAACTGGGTTGTGAACAAGTGGTTTTGTACGGGAAAATATTAGATGTCAATATAAGTATAGCTGTAAGGAAAATGCCTACATGCTAAATTGAATCATCGCTCTAGATAAAAGAGCAGTGTGGAAGGCTAGATGTGTAGAAGTGTATGAAAGGAGATGGTTAGACTCTAAGATGATTATTAGTGAAATTAAAAAAAAAACAGGCTGTAAGGAAAATACAGAGTGACATGAAGGCAATGAAGATAGTGGGGAAACAAACCTGCTATGGCGGCTTGATTGGCAAAGTTTTGGTTGAAAGAAACCAAAAGCCGTTGTACGAGTTCTTAGTGAGTAGCCTACTTAAAGTGGTATTGGATTTTAGATTTCTTGTATTTTTTAAATAATTTTAAATGTGTTATCACCCATTGGACCCTAAACTTTTTACAGCCTTTATTTTTAAATGTCATACTGGTTTTCTAGGGGTCTGCTGGTTCTGGTGGAAATTATGTTTTATTGCCTTTGGAAATGTGTAAGATGTTTCAGTGGCTTAAACATAGAAACACGTAGAAGTGAAATTGTATGTGGTATCCGGTTTGCAGGATTTTGTTTGATGTAGCGTAAGAAGTATGTAAGAAAAAAAGATGTCTGTCGGGATTTATGAATTATGTATTTTCTGACAGTTATAGAAAATTAGTCGAAATGTATTTTTAATGCTGTAAATAAAACTTTTGTGGTTTATTACACGACAGTCTTAACGAGCTCAAAAAATCTATTTTATTTCTGACGACGGCCATAATTAGAGAAATTAGATTTTTTGAGCTCGTTAAGCGACGTTGATTGGGCTTTTGAGGAAGTGAGATTAGTGAGTTTGGAGGTGGAGAGGGTGATAAAAGCAAAATGTACATTTATTGACCCGAGTATTTACAATAATGAAATAGCAAAACACAAAATTGCTCGGGCTTAAGTGTGGGGAGCGTTAGGGATGGTTGGGAAGGAATATTTTTTCTAGGTGTCGAAGAATATTCATGCCAAATTTGGTGAACGTTATAGAGCCCTTTATCTAATACACATACAAATGCACATTTTCTCTTAAATATATGGATATAAATAAAACTTATCAGTATAGTTAGCTAATTTCTCACTAATTACTTTTCCATGTTTGTTCTTCAAACATACTACTGTACTTCAATAGTACAACTCTTACAAATAATCGCTTGACGGGGAGCTGCTATTTGGTACGTGATGTGTCGCCATCTACCGAACAGACACAGACAGACATAAATCTATTAGTTTCATTTATATAATGTAGATTTTGAGATCGTAAGCGCATTTAAATCTTCTCCAGAATCTTCCCCACTCCTTCGACCTATAAACACCGAAATTTAATAGCATCAATGCCCGTAATATATATAAATCTCCCTGAAAATTTTCACAAAAATTCGACAAAAGGCAAAGGTTAGGAGTCTTAAGACACACAAACATTAACCGAAACAAATGACTGATGTTACGTCCTTCGCTTCATAAAGATATTCGGAGAAATTCCCATTGGAATATCCATTGAGCAACCACTAGTTTTCACTCGATATTCTCGACTATAATTGAATTCACAGGCTAGAAGACATGAATTTTCTGGTGACATGAAGGAGCAAAAACGAAAAATAGACATAGAACAATGTTTATGTGTGTGTTTCGATGTCGTTAATGGCTTTACTACCTCCAAAATTCGATTATCTTAACTGTACTGTACTTAACTTATAGGTAAAGTATTTGTATATATTCTAGCTTCAATTTCTTAAATAAATAGTTTTTAAAATTATATGATTGTATAATGTTACACGTTAAAAAAATATAAAGATTTTTTCATTAAATAAATTTAGGATTATGTTATTTATATGTAAAAGCATATCTAAATATTTTACTATTAGAAAACAATAAATGTAATTAATAAATGTAAAAACTATAGTCGAAATTCCATAAAAAAAACAACTGGTAGAACTGGTAAAACACAGCGAAATTTAGGATTTCATTAGGAAACTAAGATCTTTAAGAATATCTATTAAGTTAAATACGTAATCTTTCGGGTTGAATTAACTTTGGATGGTTGTATTAAATAATATTAAATTTACCCAACAACCATTAACAATCATAACATAACATAAATTTTTCCTTACCTGAATTTTGTTCCTCAACGACACTTTCCACATTCGAAATCTTATTCATTATCACGGCGTTTTCCTTCTCCAAATTCGAAATTTTAGTAACAAAATTTTGATTTATTGTTTCTGTATTCACTAACAATTCTGTATCTTGTGGAAAAGTTCAGTAAAGGATCATTGCAAGTTCCAAAAAGAATTAAAATTACGATTGGAAATCTTCTAATCCGAATCATGCACCTTAAAATATGAGTCTAAATGACTTATATTATTGGCAAGCGCCAAATCCGACAGAGGGGGCTGTTTTTGAGCCAAGATGGCTGCCGAAACAGGTAAGGAGCCGACCACGTGATTGTTTACGTGGTCGGCTCCTTACCTGTTCTATATAGTCTAGTTCGATATAGTCTAGAATTTGACATAAATTCAATGATTCGTTCTTCATTTGGTCCTCGCAGTAGTCGTCACTGATAGAAACTGAATTGGCTCAAACACTGAACAAACACGTGGTCGGCTCCTTACCTGTTTCGGCAGCCATCTTGGCTCAAAAACAGCGCTCTCTGTCGGATTTGGCGCTTGCCAATATTAGGCATAATTCAGTGTTACGCAGAATACGTAAATTCGGTCCTGGCATGTGTTATAAACGATAGATCGAGACACGAAATCTGGCCACCTAAATGATCATTCTACTCGTAATTAATAATAGAAAAAGTTTTTAAATAAAATATCATAACAGATGGCGCCACATGCATTATTATTTATTGTTGCCGAGAAAGTTACGCAACTCGTTGTTAGGGGTTTTTTTTTTAATTAATTAACTTATATTTCGCCTTATACTCAGGGATGATCTATTCAAATTTTAGATCATTAGAAAATACACATAAACCTTTAATAAATTGAATTTTGATCATTTAAATTTATGCAAATTTAAGAAAAAAAAAATAGGAAAAGCAACATTTATTTTTAATAATTACTTTATTGATCGATCAATTTTTAAAATAAAACTTTTAGTTTTTATTTTAACAAAATTTTCTTTTAATTAGTAGGAGCTACCCCTTTGTATTGAATTCTCGAAATAACGTAATCACCTCTTTCTTTCGAAGGGAATATTACATGAGAAGGATAAATAAACTGTACAGGTTGGGCGAATTTTCGAAAATTTTCAGATTCGGCCATTGTATTCGGAACAGTTGGAATAGATATCGCGTATGCCACTGGGATGGGATAGGAAAATTCGAATAAACCTGATGATGAAGCAGGTTGCATGGCTCTTAATTGAGGATATTTGATGATTCTGGATGCAGTTTGATCTTCAGTTTTGGTATTTTGTTTCAACTCACAAACTATAGACTTTTCACTTTCATCATGTGTACTAGTTTCACTTCTATACGATGGTTCGTCTCGTGTGCTTGAGCTTTCACCATGTGCTTCAGTCTCACTTCTATTCGCTGGCTTGTGATTACGTGTTTCAGGTTCACTTATTTGGTACAATGGATCATTCATTGTGCTCAAGTTTTCTGCAGTTTCTGTATGAACATAATCTAAATTTGCGGAGTCATAAGCTGTGTCTCTAGAAACAATTTTTTCTTTAGATTCTCTTGTAATATTTATGATGTCACCAATAATTCTCATCTTAGGTGAATCATTTATAGTTTTATCATCATTTAATTCCAAGTTTTTGCTATTAGCAACACGCGAATTGTTTATTATATCCATTTTTAGATTGGTTGCATTGATGAAATAGTGAATTGCTCCAGAATTATCAGGATCTTCAGTTGTGGCTAAGACTTCAAAATAATTTTGATTACTCGAAGAGTCTTCGAATCGATGATTTAAGTGTGAAATGAAAGATTTTGTAGTGACATCTTGTGTTGTATTTGAAGATTGTTTCATTTCTCGATGATTAAATGTATTAAAATCTTCTTTCGAACTACCACTAGACATCTTCATTATGCGATTTCTATCGTAAATAACAATATCTGCTGAAGTCACCTTTGATTCAGTAGTTGTTTCTTCAGGATGCCAAGAAGTTGTTATCTTCTCATCTTTAATAAAACTCTTTAATGTTTGATCCTCGTGCAATTTTTTAAAGTTTTCTTCCTCTGTAAGCACTGAAGATTCTTGTGTTGCTTTCTTCACCGTGTTACTTCCAAGATTTTCGTTTTGAGCGTGGATAAAGTCTGTGAAAATTTCATCAGGTGTTTCTCCGGATGAAAATTCCTTATCATTTGTTGACTGAGTTATCAATCCGTCACTAGCATCATTTGAAACGGTTGTAATCGGTTTATAGTAACTGTTTTCTATATGTGTTTTTGCATTAATACCACTAGATTTATCATCATTTTCTTTATCTCCATTGCTTGCATGTACTTCTTCTGCTTCAGGAAACTGAAAGCGAAATTCTGTAGTTACCTCAGTTGTAATTGCGCTAGTTACGTCTTCTTCGATACACTCTTCGTCATCCTTACTTTCATCAATTTTACCATTTATCTTATTTTTAGATTCTGGGGAAGTATTCGAAATAGAACTATGTTGGAATATTTTATTAGTATTGTAGAAATCCTCAGCAGAATCGCAAGTTACGGCTACACTCGGTCTTGCACATATTAATGTTTTTTGGTCGAAGATTGTGTGTTCCGGACACATGAAACTATACTGAAGAGCTATACGACTACCTGTTTGAGAGAATGTAGGATGGCAAACATGATATATTTTGCAATCATTGTAGACATCTGCATAATATCCATACACTTTTCCATCACAAGAAAATGTCGTATCGATTTCAACAAAGAGATTTCCTGCTCCCGCTGGAAGAGTTAGTTTACGAATCCTTACAGGCTGTTAAATATATATAAAATACATTATTTATATAATTTTTTTTAAGATTTTGATGCATAAATTTGGTTTATAAATAAAATATTAAGAATAAAATAAATGGAATAATATAACAATGTGTAAAAGATTGCTCTCTAATTAAAGTCCATTGAATTATTATGTTAATAAGGAATACCGATATGTGTGTATATAGGTATATACACACATATCGGTATAAATTAAAGATTCTTACATGTAAAAATACTCACAGAAGAGTATATTTTTTTGCGGGTGTGAGAACACTTGCCTGGCTTTTGTTTTATTGTGTTTATTAATATAATTACTTTTAATCCTATTTTATACTATTTAACTAAATATAATATACAAAATTATATATTAAACATAAAAAATACAACAAATTTAACATTAATAAACAATTTTATACGTTTTATTTGAATTTAGCAAACTTACTCTTTGTCCTGCCAAACTAGTAGAAAGTAAGGAAACTGGGGGAAAAAAACAAGCAAAAGAATGAAAAGTTTTGAATGAAAATTTCTAAAAAGTAAATTTAAAAAATCATAAAACTTACTTAAAATTAACAGCGCGTTTCTATGCATGTTAAGGTACTTCGTAAGATGCCAATTCTTGATCTTAAACAGTCGAAATTTTAAAAAGGATATGTGAAATTACTTGAAAAAAATGTAACTAAACTGAAATTTCATTGGCTCTTTTCTAATCTTTTCGAATTTCATAAAGTATTCAAGTATTTATCTGAACGTTTTGCAAAATGATGACTGTGTAAAATTGTAGAAGTACAGTACAAGTCAGAGAAACTCACGGTTTCCTGCAGTTTTTATCAAAATATAACACTATTATATTTAATATAATCGAAAATACAATTCATACAATAAAAAATGCAGCATTTTTTAAAGATTTAAACACATTACTTAACCGTTAGATCGCGAACTCCAGAGAAATGTAATCTTCTACCAAGAAATTGCTAATTATAACTCTACTTATATATAAAGTAAAATATATTGTATGTAATCTGATTATATACAATTAATATAAAAATATATTTAAGAAAATATATATATAATAAGGATAGTAAGTAAGTAGATAAGCTATGATACTCTCAGTTATGACTAAGCAAGTGTTGTAACATTTTGTTTCTTTACAGATAAAGAATGATAGATTATTATTTTTTAAACAAACAGGAAATTATCTTAAGTTATTTAAATATTTTAGTATTTTACCGTATATAACAAGAAGTTTTTAAGGCTATTTATCATTTATATAACTAGAATTTGGGGCATTGTAACATTAGGCAACTTAATGTGTTACAATGCCTCAAATTCTGTGCGTGGGACTAGGTAAGTAGGAACACTTAGGACACAATAGCATTCATAGGGACTTTGTGGCTACTCTATAAGGAAGGAAATAAGCTCCTAAGAGTAACCAATTACCAGTGTTATTCACTTAACCTTAATGAGTAAATCTAAAAGAAAAATGTTATGGGTATACTCTAGATTAGACGGGTTCGAAGGTATTTTTTGTTGAAAGAGGTTCACAGAAAATAGGGAAAAGGTTGTGAAAGTCTCGGATCTTGATCTAGTACAGTGATTCCACTGTACTAAATCAAGATCTGAGACCCTAAAACACGAGATCGTAGGTCATCTGTGCTTAAAAACTGTAATTGTGAACTTGTAATTAAAGACTAACATCATTTAGAATTATATAATGTCCGTAATTTTCTTAAATTACAATAAAATCAAGAACAATATGCTGTTTTAATACATAAATCATAAAATAATATTCAAGTAAATTTAATTAATATGTAAATACCTTTACGATTAACATATTTTTAAGTTAAGCAAATGGACGAAATTATTCCCATAAATAAACTACCATAATAGCAAGCAATCAATTATAGTTTATGTAACTTTAATTAAAGATCAAATTATTGCAACATAATATATATTTCTAATTAAAAGGAAAAATGTGTTTTAAGATGTAGAAGCTTAAATAATTTATTTAAAAAAAAAGAATCCAGCAACGAGTTGCTTAACTTTCCCGGCAACATTTAAAATTTTCGTTGCGCTATCTGTTACGATATTTTATTATTAAAAACTTTTTATATATTTAATTATTATAAAATGTCAAAAAGCTTAANGTCATTGGCAAGGAGGAAAACCCGGAAAAAACTCCCGCTGCCAGCTCGTCCGAGTGAGGCGCGAACTCCCCCCGATCGAACTCCGGTGTTTAGGGTCAACTAGTTGTCATAGCCTTGTCCTCTAAGCCATTTTAACTCGAAACCTAATTTTTCAAATGTGTCAGAATAAGTTCTGTCAAACCCTCTCCAGTTGAATCACAAGCTTCAAAAAAAAAAAAAAAAAAAAATTTCTTCGATTTTATATTTATTTTGAATGGTGTTAAAAGCGATAACTCTTATTGTTAATGAGAGTTGTTCAATATGACTTACGTCTGGGATACAATCGGCGATTATCGAAAAATATTTAGCTATTTTTGTTATTTCGACAATTTTGCTTAAAATTACATTTCCCATCAAATTTATCAATTCATCTTGTATATTATTGCTTAGATAAGTCACAGACCATTTATCAGACTCGCGTTGAACTCTCCTCATATGTTCTTCCATAACTGGATCAAACTCAGAAAGCAATTCAACCAACTTTAGGAAGTTTCCGTTATTAGGCTGAAACAAATGTTCAGTTGTTCCACGAAAAGCTAAGCATTGTGAGGCCAATAGTCTAATTATTGACAATTCTTTTTAGAACTCCTTTCCAATGCTGAATTTCTATATCCATAATTCGCTGATATTCAGCGTCAATAGTTTTTTTCTGTTTTAATCGAATGTCCAATTCTTTCCATGCTCTAAATGCATTTCTGTGATTTACAGACTTTTCGTGGATTGTCAGGGTTCTTGGAAGATTTTCCCAGTCAAAATAGCCTTTTTTTGGGCCAGTCACTAATAGCGGACGAATTATCAAATAAAATACAACAATAGCAAAAAACAGCATCATTTGTAACAGAATAAATCAACCAACTTCTCTCAACGACTTCACCATTGCTCAACACTTTCGAATAATAGCCTTCCTTTAATAATAGGAAACTCGAATTCTTTTATTTGATGTGGACCCCTCTCCACTAGTATTTGACAAGTTTCAGATGACATGCAAAAAGCATTCCATGACGCAGGATTAGAAGAAATTTCGTTTAATATCTGCTGGCTGTCACTGCTACTGCTACTCGGCTCTTGATGAACTTCTGATGGTGTTATATTTTGGCTCACTTCAACAACTTCTTCTGGAAGTGATTGGGGCGGCACTGAGTTTTTATTTGCCAAATCTAAAGCAGACGCTGTTGATGTGGATATGGACGGTTCATCTAAACAGGATTTTTGTACTAAGAATTTCTTCATAACATAGCTTTTTTCCTTCTTCCCTTTTCTCTAAGCGTTTCTTTTTATATTGACTTCCAGACAATTTTTTCCTTTTCTGTTCCATACTGTAATAAAAATATTAAATAAAAATTCACAGTCCTTCGCAAAGACCGGAGGGTGTCATTGAAAAGGATTAAATATGATGATGTTTATCATGCTATTAAAACAGAGTAGATAAAATAACGATAGAAATGAGTTGCAAAGCTAGTAAGATTTGTAGGTAACAAAACGTAATCTTATAATATAATCGAGATGAGTTGATAATAATGATAATGATAATAAGCGCAGAACCCAAACGGTTAGGAGTTGACTATTGAAAGTTGGTACACAGGGTACGTCACGAGAATGTACTGTACACTAAGAAGGGATTTTTCGAAATTTTCCCGCAGGGAAGAAAGAGAGAATTAAATCTTATCCTTAAAAACTCAGCTTCTACTGAACTATTTTAGATGTGGTTTTCTGTTTTTAACTACATTTTAGTGGGGGACGTCATGAAAATGCACACTAAAAAAGGATTTTTGGAAATTTCAACCCCCCTCGAGGGAAGAGGAGGCGAGAGTCAATTTTCGTCGGTATAAAGTGTAAATAATAAATAAAGAAAGTAAATATTGGCACATATAGTATAGATTTTGGCAATTAATAAATATTTTAATAATTTTTATCTTTTGGGTAACCCAAAAACAATAAATCCAAAATTCGAAAAATTCGAAATATTGAATTGNATTATAAAATGTCAAAAAGCTTAATTTTGAAGATAGAGATGAGTTTTATAAAAATTGTAAATGCTAATAACGAGTAAAATTGCCATTAACTCTGACTGTACTGGTGATATGACACGGCCCCCTTTATCTCCCCACCCTCTCGATCTTTAATCACCAAAATTTAACAGTATCAGTCTCCATAATATCCAAATCTTCTTGCAAAATTTCAGAAATTTTCGACAAAAAACACGGGAGTTATTAAGGTTCAAAGATTGATTTGTTTATGGCAATGCGATACCACCCAGGAGGACATTTTAAAGAAACTGGCCCCTGTTTAAGTATTACTAACGTAAAGATAATCCGAAAATCTTATGTTGCCATGCACCAACCCACTTCCAATTATCTTTTCACTCATGCTGATCTCACTCCATAATGTAGATAACATTGTAAGACACCACGAAAGCCAGGCAGTATATATCAGAGCTGACTTGACTCCATTGTGGATCAGATCCTCTGTGTAATAGCGGAATTAAAGCAAGTTAAGCCAAACCCATAGGGCATTTTTTTAAAGAAATTCTTTTAAATTTATTGTTTTTGTAAGTAAAAAGGGACCAAAACATAGATTTTAATTAATGGGTCAAATTTCTAGGAGCGTTATAGGTCACATTTGGGCAACTTGTAATGTGCTGAAAAGGCCATCAAGTAGAGAACAATTGGAAAAATATTTATAAAATTTGGATTAAAGGCACATTTTATCGAGTTCAAATTTTATAACGTGTCCAAATAACAGTTTATAACTGTCAAAAAAATTAGTTTTAATTGGTCGATTGAAGACGATTTAAAAAAAAAAATACAACTGACATTATATAAAAACTATTACATCATTATTTCCACCGTAAACCGATGATTTCAAGGTTATTATATAAACTTGGAAAAGTTTTCCTCAAGTTTATACGTTTTGTACATTCAATATATTTTTAGAAAGCACCATTTAAGGCCTTCTCGACATTGTAAACCTCACTATGCTCAAGTTCAACGTAATTTGTATCAAATCAATAAATATTATGCTTTGAAATGAGGCCCTTTATCACGAGGAAGATCAGTAGGACCATTTGTTTCGGATCCCACCAGTGGCCGAAGTGGATAAAACCACCGAACATTGGCAGTTGGTCTTGGCTAACGGGATGGCCACGTTAGTATCATCTAAATAGTGGCCAGTTTTCTATAAAAAGTCTACTCGGGAGGAATCCTCCCTAGGAAGATCGCCCACGAGTCGCGTTGTCGTAACCAAATAAATCAAATTGTTTTGAGGCCTTCGCATTTAAGGGGGACTCAAAACAATTTATAGCAATCACATCCCATTGTTTCTCGGATGCCAAAGGAAAATTATACTAGGATTTCCGAGCTGGAGAGGAAGAGCTTATTAGGAAAGAAACCAGACAAATACAGTACTATTTCTAGAAGATTGTGGTCTTCGATATAACGACCTAAATGCGGAGAGGCGTGGTTCGTTAATAGCGTAGGTGCGTTATATTAAGGGGCATGCTAATATATGTAGTTCTCCATGACTTCAGCTTTATGTATTCCGGTACGGTATATCCGAATTCGTTATATCGAGGATGCAATAGTAATCTTCTTTTGATGTATTCCTCTAGATCAACGGTTCCCAACCTTTTTCGGGTGGCGACCCCTTTTTATAAAAGCCAAGTGACCCGCGACCCCAATACAAATGAAAAAGACATTTTTAATAAGGAAATTAAAAAAACAACAAAATTAGTTTTTTAGTACAATTTTATTTTAAATTATGTTTAATAATTAATTAATTTAATGCGATGGTTGAAATTGCATGTTATTAACCAGCCTCAAAATTCGCGGGTGAGTTTATGTTAACGCCAACCTCATGTCATTCTCAACATTTAATTTATTTGTTTCTTTTGCTTTTAAACGAAGAAGAGTTGAAAATCCACTCTCGCAGAGATATGTAGACACAAATGGAACTAAAACTCGAAAAGCAAGCATCGTCACATTTGGGTATGAATGATACATATCACACCAGAAATGTGTGAGCAATTTTTCATTAAACAAGTTATGTGCCGAGGAATCATTCCGCAAATCCAAGAATTCATCTTGTAATTCATCGGGAATGCTGGCTACATCAAGGGAAGCAGAGAATGGATTTCGTGTAAATGTAGTTTCTTCTTCTTTCAGCTCAGGGAAGTAACGCTGGAGTTCGTTTTCAAGGGATTCGAGATGCCCAGTAATCTCTTCTTTCAAATTTTTATTTATTTCACCTTCAGATTCAACTAACACACTGCAGAGTTTCTCAAACATGGCAATGTTCCCAAGATTTATTTTTCTTCGCCAGTTTTGCAGCTTGGATAAAAATGCTCTGAGATTATCATGAAATGCGATAATATTCATTTCCTTTCCCTGAAGTTTCAGGTTAAGCCTATTTTGCTGTTCTAATATATCTGCTAGATATGCTACTCTTTTCAACCAAGCTTTGTCATTAAAGTAAACCAAAAGGTCACGTTTCCCTTGCACTTCCAGGAACAACTTGATTTCATCTCTCAATTCAAAGACACGATTCACAACATTTCCTTTCGACAACCACCATACTGCAGTGTAGAAAAGAAGAACCTCGTGATCAGAATCCATGTCTTTGCACAGTTCTTTAAACAGACGGGTGTTAAGAGCTCCAGATTTGATGTAATTTACGATTTTTATTAGCGAATCAAGTACCTCTTGCAGAGGAGTTGGAAGAGTCTTACTGGCAAGGGCATACCGGTGAATCATGCAATGGATTCCCCT